AAAGGATCAAGACTTACACGGTTTTGGTACACAGAAAGATCAAAATAAAACTAATGCACTGTAAGTAGACAGACAGCTATTGACTAAGCAAGAAGTATGGTTTAGCTATGCCTCCTGGCATATTTTGACCGAAAGAATTAAATTCCTAAAAACAAATTTCACTCTCTCAACAGAATCTCAACAGGTTCTTCTTTCCACATATTTAGCCTCAGTGCAATTTGCTGCTTCTCTTTTTTTTTTTTTTCTCTCTTTAGCCAAGAGCTAAACATATTGGGAAATTCAGCTACAAAAAGATAGCAAAGTATCCTGCTGTTCAGTCCTGCTAGGAAAAGCCCAGATACTTGTCAGCCCCACAGTGACATCTATAACAGCAGCCTCAAATTTTTTTTGTTTCATTGCTACCCAAGCATTAGGTAAGCAAAACCCCACAGAATTACAGGGAAATCCTGACTGCTCACAGAAAGATTAAATGACATTCAAAATGATGAAATATTGCTTTGTTGCTGAATACAAGGGAAGAAATATTAGCAATGAAAAAGGTTTTGCATTTCACCACATTCTAAAAAACAAACACTGAAATAATACTCTCTGCAAGAATCACTGTAACTATCATCCATTGGTCTTACAGTATACAAAAAATTGGTTTCTAATTGGAAACCTAGCAGAGCAGCACAACCCAGTTTTATAAACAGATTTTTCTCCTCCTTTGCACAAGGGTGAAATTAATTCTTTTTGAGAGGGTTGACCATTTTTCCCTATTTCAGTGCCAATGAAGCCTCATTTGGAAGACACATGAGATGCAAGAGAGTTGCTAGATCTTTATACAGCTAGGAAGGTATCTCACCCTTTGTATGTTTGTAGTGCTTATCTCCCATAATCATTTCTTTCAGGTTCTACACTTAAATATCTATGAAAATCTCATAGCAAGAAAGGAGAAACTTGGGAAAAATCACAACACAAACTTCCAATGCTCATTATTAACCACTGTGATCAGTGGAAATACAGTAATGCACCTAAACATTAACCAAAGCACACAAAACAACTGATCTGAAAGAACTGGAATGGTGAGATCAGCTACTCACTATTGTGAGTAATCCCACAGGTCTGCAAGTCAGTGGGACTTGAGTAGAATGACTGTCAGTGAACACACTCTGGGTCACATGTGGAAAGTATTCAGTTAATTTCCAGTGAATTTGTCACAGATGAGGTGCTTAGAAACCTATGCAGTTGTGACAGGTACTGAATGTTTGCAACCCTAGATTGAGCACAAAAAATGGCAGAGAGAAAGAGACAACATAAGGAGAAAGGGAAGGACGACACAAGCATGTTATATTTTATAAGACAACTGGTCATTAGGTTCTCAGCATGGCAATCATGGTTAAGCTTCAGAACAATGTGTAGCAATTTCCCTGTTCTTTTTTCCCTTTTAACAGTAAAATCATGACATGGTGTCTGTCATAGCAAACTCAAAGGACATAATCAAGCAATATTCCACAGCCTGACATTCAGAGACTATAAACCCGTTGGAAACTGAAACTCACAAAGTATTTCTGTGAGTAGGGAAGTGCCCCTCCTCCTCTGTCTCTAGAACCTTTCCTTTCTGAGCCTCCTTTCTTCTGCAACACTCTTGAAACAGGTTGTTCCTGATGGTGAGGAGAAAGTGCTTTGCATTCGCCTTTGCTGACATCTATTGGAATGAGCAATAATAAAGAAGGGAGTGAATTTTCAAACAGGTACTGCCCAGAAGTACACACACTCCAAGGAAAAGACAAGACATAAGAAAGCAAAGGTCCACCTGTTCAACAACTGAAGAGGCCCATGGCTATGATCTGAGCCCTAGAAGGGGACCTGAGGTGCTGCAGGATGACAGGCAAGATCAGCTCTGATTCTTTCAAGCAAGCAAAACACTTTGCCTGGGCCAAATTCAGGCAGCCTGGAAACACCTAATGCAGGATTTTGGCAGTTACAATGACTAAACAACAATAATTCTAACCAACTAGTATTTAAGTTGCGTCTTGATGAATGGGAAGAAGTAATCTTATGCTTGTATGAAGCATTCATAGATAGAGTTTTATGTGGCTCACATCTCCCCTTGCACAATACAGTAAAATACACATCCATTTGTCACAGCAGTGTCAGGCTCAGGTACAACAACTATGCTCAGTAGCTGTATTATAGGAGGTCACAAACCAATTCCACCCCAGGAAGTGACTGCTGCAGAACATAGGATGAGCACTGACAGACTGAACAGGAAAACAAAGAAAACATACCACATGCCTCCTAAGATTTCTCAACGTGGTAGTAGCATTACCACAAGGTGTCAGCACGGTAAGGAAAAACTGTGCTGGTATTTCAAATCCCTCCTCAGAAGCTCAGTCCCTAATAAAGACAACGTTAAAACTTACCCAGATGAGGACAACATCTGCTAAGAGTGGAAGGTATGGGGATAGTGGCTTGCTACTCATTCTTTTATGTCCCACACAATGGATATAAAAATGGTATCTGTCATAGTGAGTAGCTTTTATTTTGGTATAGATATTAGCCTGTATTGTAGTATTTGGTTCATACGGTAATATTTACAGGGTTAGAGTTACATGTTTCACAGTAACTGCAGGATTTTGGGAAGGAGACCATTAAGTATAGCTTTCTAGGGAAACTTTATGAAGTGCTTATTTAAGCTTTAAGGATTATCTGCAAACAGCAAACTTGCCATAAAATTCCTTGAGAAGAGGACTTGCACTAGGATATTTCATGACTCTATTCAGTTATTATGGAACAAAACACTCATTCTAAAGTTAGAAGCCCCCATTTTTCCTTTTCCTGTCTCACTGTTCCCAGATTAACAATGCTAACATGTCGTGGCCATTATGGCTAATACACACATAATTTTACAATGAATGCAGTTCAAGAATCTACTGCCTACCTGCCTACATGAAGAACCTGAACAAGGAAATGAATCAGTACAATGGGACTCTACCTGTACACAGTGTTCCACAACAGGATGTGATCTCTTATGTGGTTTGCAGAGACGACCAGTGAAAAAGCAGACTTGGCAAAGGTCAAAATTGAGGCACTTCAAACAGCGATACCTGCGAGGGAAAACAAAAGGATTGTATTACTTCCCCACAAGTAAGAAGTTGGTGTAAATGAGTAAATGAGCTTGATTACTGGAAATCCAGATCCCTGGACCTGAAATGCAGACTAGCACCTTTGTTAAAATAATAATTTTCCTTACCATTCTCTGAATGTAAGTTATTGTGTCCAGTTACCAGCTTATCTCTATTTGCTGCTCTCATGGGACTATAATATTACTACATGATTGACATAGGATTTGCAAGCAAAAAACTAAGAATGCAAGAAACTAAATCTGCAAACTTACTATTAATAAGTAGAGAATAACAGTAAAATGCTTTTCTGAGCATTCTGTTCAGAAGGTAATGGATAGTGTTCTTTTTATACCACGATACCATTTTATACCATTACTTAGATGAACATGATGCTAAGATGGGTAAGTTAACTACCCAGTTAATACAACTGGCTACAGGACAAAGAACTAAGAAATGAGATATACAGGTTTAATTGGCTTTACCTCTGAACTGCAAGTTTACCTTCAGGAATTTTTCATAATCAAGTCTGTGCTAGTGAGCTAAAGAGAAGCAGGATGCTTGAGCACTAGTCTGTGATGGTTCTCTGTTCCCCTCTGTTACTGCCTAAATTAGATTATGTCAAAAATTTGCTGCTTAATACATCAGTTATAGCCTGTAAGTTATGCAAACAATGGTAAGAACTATTTATGTGGATGCTAAAGACCACTGACGCACCTGAGGCCTGTAATGGGAAAAACTTTGCAGACTCTACATCTAGCTTGGTGAGAAACCATTTCTGTAGCTGATAATCTGTAACATGTAGGGAGCCACAAGAGAACAGCAGGTTCTGATCTCAGCCAAGACAGGAATTTTTCTTCATCAATAGCTGAATTCAGAACCTAGAAAAAAATACATGTCTCAGGTTCATACATTCACTTGAAAAGAACTGGTGTCTCATCTACAATTCCTAATAAAAGCTCTGACGTTAGACTTTGCTAGGATAGATTTTCCATTCATGTAAAATGTTACATGGTTCCAAAGGTTTTGGAATAAATGCAAGAGTCTTCAGGAGTATCTTACTGGGCATCTCTTCTATAGATATAAATCCTCCTATATTGTGAGACTGATGATCAGCCCTGCCCCTTAAAAGTAGATACTTGTGCATGTTATGTGGTGATACGCTTATAGTTTTAATCAATCAGAAACATTCAAAACTATTTCCCAGGACATCAGACTTTTACTCACTCCATGGAAACAGTCATGAGCAGCAATTTCCACAGAAGACTGAGTGCAGCTTTCTCCCACAATGGCTGGGATCTGCATTAAGAAAAAAGCCTCTGAAACACCTCAATAAAAACCAGATGTTCCCATCATGCTCTGCTGAGATGGTGGCAGGACACAGATGGTAAAGCATCTATAGAAATGCCATTTTACATACCATTATGAAGAAAACCCATTCATATTAATGCCATCAATATGCAGTTCCATTGTTCAGTATGTGTCAGAATGATTTGTTTCAAACTCACTTACTGAAATGGATCAACATACTGTGTTGCCACGCTGTAATACTGAAGGACAATGGGTTTGAACCTCAGGGGTCACTTTCAGATCACATTTTCAGCACCAGTTCAGCTGGAAATACCTGTATGCCAAGGCATCTTCCTGCAACTGCGAGATATTTGAGTGAGTACAGACATCTGAAGTTTGGAGTTGCTTTAGGACTGCGCCACCTGAGCCACCCAGGACCTGTAAGCTCAGGCAACATGAATGTGCAGAGGCAAGTGGTTACTCTGATTAAGAAAAGGGACAGAATTTGATTCCTTTACCTACTTTGCATGGTAGCTATGTCCACAGAGTGTCCTATTGAATTCAGCTCCCCCGCCACAATCAGACATAAAATGTATCGATAACATATGTTTTTTCTCATAGAATAGTACACTCCTACAAAACCTGTTGTGTAACTGTATTGCATTGGCATTACCTGATTTAAGTCTGTTAGTAGGCTTCTCAGGGCACTACGGGTAATCAAGGCCATTTTCTCACGAAGGACAGCATAAAACCGGAAGAAAGCTGAAAATGACAAGAGGAACAAAACTGGAATGCTGGCATAGCCCAAAGTGTCTTCAAGCTGCTATGGTGATTGCAACCTACCAAATAAACTCCTCAAGAAAGTTCCACTTTATTATCTACTTAACAGGCTCTCAGTGACTGCTGTGACAATACTTTCTTCCTACAGCAATGCAAAGAGAAGGTAAGCAAGGAATTTATGGCAATACCTTATTGCTGGCATAGTCAGGTAAGTTGAAAGGAAGCAATGAGTTCACTCTCATGGCATTAAGAAAAATATTTAAATATGTTTACACAAGAAATTTCCTATTTAAATTGTAATTTGGAAGGAAATACACAGTATGCAGTGGGAGAGCATAAGGTCAATATTCCAGTTGTGGTCCGTTTGTTCTCCATTTTGACCATTTAATTCAGGCAGAAATCTTTGTGCTGCACATTGCACTGGGCTACCTTGATCTGTTATACTTACTTCTTTCAGCATTTTTGTCTAATGTCTAAACGTTTGATGGATCAAATAATAAAATTGTTTTCTAATTCAATGACATTTAAAACCAGGGGTTTTCTATTCTTTTCTGCTAGGCAAATAGAACTTGGCCTTCACTTTTAAGCTCTACTTATCTTAAACTTTACTATGACCTGTTCTGAGACTCCTTATGCAAAGATGGCTACAGATATTGATGGAAAAGTATTATTCTCCATCAGCCTTTCTCTACAACTAAGGAGTCAAGATAATTTAATCTTTGCATGGCAGAACTGTATTGTCTTTTAAAGCAAAAAAAAAATGTAATGGAGATTTTTCTCAATGTTCAGTATTTCAGGCAGTGTATAAAATAATACATTTCCCACCTCTGTATTTAGCCAGTAGAGTGTCTCCTGAAAGGGCAATTAGGGCAACTGCAGCAGATCTAGCTTTGACATACCCTGTTCCAGATCTAGGAAAATAAAATAAGTTACCGAGAACGTAAAAATTGAAACTTCTAATGACTAACATACTGCTATGTTGGAAGACAACTTCAAAACTCATATCCTTTTATATATATCAATATAACAGATGTCACATTTCAGTGATACGTTATGTCTAGAATCCTTTGTCTCTGAACGTACCTGCAGAGTTTAACGTTCCAAGATACCATGCAATCATAAAACAAATAGACAATGTCTACTTCATAGACCTCACATTCCAAGTAAATTATCATTTTACATTTACAATCCATGTCCTAAAATAATTCTGCTCTTCATTTGTGGAAAGCCTTCCCAAATATGGAAGTGAATATAGGATACAATCTAGTTTTTGTATTATATCATCAGGCAGCTTCACTATGGCCCCAGACCTGCACTGAGTGTTTCTTGGGCTGATTCCATTTAATTTCACTACAAGTCAGTTTAATTGAAAGAATAGATGCAGGAGCAGGACTTTAGCTTTGACTGTTACATAATTAAATAGTGTAGATTAATTTAGAACCCAACTTTGTGACATAGGCACCTAATGAAAAAACAATTCTTTTTTTGTGAAGACATGCAGACATGAATTGGAAACCACAAATAAGAAATCCTGGAATTCTATATTTAAGATATCACTTTTGCAAAGCTGTATTGCACTTCAGAATATCACGACATAAAATTGTCTTCAGGAGTCTTTAGATAAGCCCATACTGCAGAAAGCTGCAATATAGTCTCTAAAGTCTGAGCTGCATGAGAAATTGTTGGTCAAAAATTTCTAGATTTTGAATTTGTATATTTAGTTTCTCCAGAACTTTCACAGGAAAAAAAGTCCAAGACTGAAGCTAAAGTATACAATTAAAACTCTTTAAGATGTTTATGTAAGCTTATTTAGTAAACTACCATATAAACATGGAAAATTCTTATGTGCTCCTCTTAGGAAATACTTTTCAATGTTAATAGCAGAGAATAGCACCCGACAGAGAAAACATGATTCAAAGAAAATGGTAAGAATCTTCTTTTCTATCCAATACACATGTCAAGAAGCCTGTGAATATTTTTTAGAAGAAATCACAGCAAAAAGAAAATTACATAGTCCTAAGAATCCAGAATAAAAGACTAACATAGT